CTCTATGCAAGTTAAGGTAGATGGCTACCTGCTGAGTCATTCTTCAAAAAGCAATTGCTCCTTCGTCTTAGGGGAGAAGGCTCAGGCAAGGACAAAGGAATCCCAAACCTGATTGTAGATGAAATAAAACCAGTGGAACTCTAAATCCAAGATGCTATATTTGAGGATAATTATTACCCGTTTATATGAAGTGGCCAGGATTTGGCTTGGGAAAGAACCAAATGCATCCCCATACCCTGCTTCTGTCTCCTTCCAGCACAGAAAAATACTCCATTCCTTCCAAAGCACTTTCTAACCTATTCAAGTGAAACATGTTCTTTCTCCCCAGCACCCTTCACTACCAGGGTCCCAGGGGCATGTTGGAGATCATTCCCGGGGCAAGTGTAAAATAAGCTTTTCAGTTCTTCCTTCCAACTCCAGCCCAACCAGTATCCCACATCCATCCCTCTTCCAGTCAGCTAAAGCAAACCCCTCAGCAGCAGGGATCTTAGCAACAACAGGATGGGAAGCAGGAAGAGAAAGAAATACAGGTTAAGGTCAGAAACATAACTTTCAGCAAAGCCTCTCTCTGTGCTTACTACCCCTGCATTCCTTCATTCTCTTAGCTAGGGCAAGAACCTTCATCCCTCCCCCTGGAGCAAAACTGAAAACGTAGGGAAATGTCTAAAACCAGGCCTCTGCATCAGAGAGTCCTAAATTTATGACCACAGAGAGAAAGAGAAAGAGAGACAGACAGGGAAATTAACTCACTGCTGCTCCAGATCGTCAGCCATAGTAAACAAGCCTGGCTGGGTAGAAGTGAGCCAGCCTGTCCCTCCAACTGACGGCAGCACCAGCTGACCTCGGAAAGCATTGGCTAACAAAGTGGGGCGTGGCTAGAGGTGCTTAGGAGAAAGACGGGGTAAGCAAAAAGGTGGGTGGGGCAAAGGGGATTATGAATGGAGTGGGTGGGGTTCAGGTAGGAGTAGGGAAGTGGATAAGTGGGGGACTGGGTTAATATGTAAAGTTTCTGAAGGAGGTGCCGGTCTCCTGGGGGCAATGCCTGTAAAAATTCACCCCTCAAAGAGCCCCCAGGCCAAGAGTCTGGAAAGATTTTGGGAGGGAAAGGTGAATGGCTAATGTGACAAGCTATAGAAGTCCAGAGTTATCCCCATCCTACTCTATTGTACTAGCCTAGTGAAGTAGATCCTTCTCCTACTTATGACCTTTAAGTTAATCTTCTGTAGCTTCCTTGACCCTCATGTTCATTTTAGCCCGTACAAGTGTTCAATTTAGTTCAACCAAATAACACCAAAGCACTGTGTTAGGGCACTAGCCTGTGAAGCTGAAATATGAGGGCTCTGGCCCTCAGGGATTTTACAATCTGAAAGGGGTGGAGGAATAATAATAGCTCATTAACACAAACACAAGGCAAAATGTGACAAAGGCAAAGAGGATTCAATCAAAATGTTTAAAAAAAAACTGAAAAAGGGAAAGTGATCACTTTCTGCTGGGGAGTTCCGGAAAGGCTTGTCTCCTAAAATGGACAGTAAGCTTTCAAAAAGTTAGAGGTGCAGAGGGGCTATGTTCCAAGTAAGGAGTCCAGAGAGTACAGGATGTTGTTGTTTTTCACTAATTTTCAGTGTTGTCCAACTATTTGTAACTCCATTTGGAGTTTTCTTGGCAAAGATATTGAAGAAGTTTGCCATTTCCTTCTCCAGTCCTTTTTTTTTTTTAAACAGATGAGGAAATTGAGGCAAACAGGATTAAATGACCTAGGGTTACCCAGCTATTAAGTGTCTGAGGCCAGATTTGAACTCAGAAAGATGTCTTCCCAGCCCCAGGCCCAGCACTACTCTATCCACTGTGCCACCTAACTACTGAGGTTACAAGTCTGGGATTATGACAGTGCTGGTTCTATTATCAGAAATATGAAAGTTGGGAGAGGCAGGTTTGGGAGAGAACAAGGGTTGCTTTAGATATAATGAGCTGGAAGGTCTGGCCAGACATTCAAGGAGAGAAATTTAACTGAGGGAGGAGAGACTAGGCAGAAAGAAGAGGCTCATCAACGGGGGAAGGGGGGTCACATCCCATAGAAGGGCTAGAGGGGGAATGACTAGCTAAAAGTCACTGGTACTGGAAACCAAGACACCCGTGTGGAGAGAGCACTTTTAGTAGTGGTGAGGTTGTCAGGCCGCGGGAGTTATAAGGGATTTACAGTTATGAGAAGGGGAACTTATGGAGGTGTCTTGCAGACTTGCGAGTGTGTGGTCTAGAGCTGGAAGGGACCTTGGAGAGTATCTGCTTATCTCCTATCTAGGGGAACTAGTCAAAGCCCTTGGGAGACATAGATCTTTCTGAGGCAGGGGACAGAGGGTTTGGAATTGGTCTCACTTCTCTAGAGCACTTCTCGATCAGCTTTCCAGCAGGTTAACTGGAAGTAGAGAATTTTTAGTCTATTATATAACACTAAGTGAGAGGAGCAGTATTTCTCTGAAGCAACTTATTTTCGACTACCCACAACTTGGGGGAGGCTTTACTAGAAAGAGGACAAAGCTGCCCCCAGGGTCAAATTGGCTTCAGTCTTTCAGATGTAGCTTCCTGGGCATCTGGAGGCATTAAAAAGTCTAGGGCCTCTAAGACTTGGTGGGTGCCAAAACCACACAAGTTGCCATACTTTGATGACTTACTTACCGGATGCATTTCCAGATGGAGAGAGGGGTGGAAGGGGCAGAGGGACGCATCCAGAAAAGCTAAATGCCACTGTATGCTGCATAATCTTGGTGTGCTAGGGAAAAGTTAGGTACTTTGTGAAATGTTCAAAGACTTCCATTTTGTCCCATCATTGAGCCTGAACTATAAAAGTGCTGGCGTTAAAGCTCTGCCTTCAACACACCACAGACAAAAACAATTACTGCCCTCACTCCACAAACACCAAGCTGATTAGAACCTTAGGCCCAGCATTTCTAGTGCTTGGGATAACCTGGAACTGTAATGAACTTTCTGAAATCACTCCAAAGTGGAAAGGAATCTTAGTGGTTGTCAGCTGGGTCTCTCAGAGAGTGAAAAAGCAAATGTTCTTTCTCTTCTCTGGATAGTCGTTTTTTTTTTTTAGTCATATCTGACACCTTGTGACCCCATCTGGAGTTTTCTTGTCAAAGGTATTGGAGTGGTTTGCCATTTCCTTCTCCAGCTCATTTTATAGATTCCATGATCATAAAACCTTTCAAAGTCCACTTATTTTGCCACATCAACTCCTTTTAATTAAAGGGACAGGTTAGTTCTGTAGCTGCTGGAGAGACAGTGGCACAGGGTAGTAGAAAAGCACTGGACCACAAGCCCAAGTTCAAGTCTTATAAACTGTTATTGTTAGGATTGGTTTACTGCCAAGCTCACCAAAATCAGATGCTCTTGTACTACAGGTAGCTCAATTATCAGTGAAATATGAAAAAGCCTTGGCATAAATTATCCCAAAATACCAGGTGGGCTATTAGTGTCCATTTAAATTGTCATTAAGAAGTTGTTGACAGGAATAAGAAATGCTGCTGCAGTTACCGCCACAATGCTGGGCAGCAGGCCCTCTTCTTGCTTAAACAGTTCATAAAAACTCAGTAATTCAGTGTGTTGGTGTGACAGCAAGACCCTGGAAGTCAGGCTTTCAGCAACTCAATTTGATTTGTTTTTCATGTTTTCTATTGTATCCCTCCTAGGGAGAAGCAAATAATGATGGGTGAAAAAAATGAAAGGCAGATGAAACAATAGGGAGACACATCAGCACAGTTCTGGATGAACAGTACCAACAGCAATATCACTACTTTGAATAATTTGCCTCTACATCAGAAAAATGTCCTTTTGAAATATGCATACAGCTTAATTCTGCTGCTGAAACTATCCTTTCACTTCCTGATGAGGCAGGGAGGAGGAGGATGGTTCAAATTACCAAGGAAATTGACTGTACCATATATACCGTGTCAATGGAAGAAATTTTCAAATTCTCTTAACAGCTCATAAACAAAAGTCTCTGAATAGTCCTATGTTTCCACATTTAATTGGAAGCTAGCTGAGTGCAGTGACTAAAGTCAGGTCAAAGGTACACTAGAAGCCACATCATCAACAAAAAATGTTCTGCATGCTAGAAGTGCAAAAGATATGTTGTTATACATGGTCCTCACCCTAAAGTGACTCAATCAGAGAGATAAGAGTACTTACTAACCTACAGGTAAGACCATTTGGGCCAGTGACTTTCAACTTCAACCTAAATCACTGCCACAGAGCTGAAAGTAATAATCACATGTATAGTAATATAGGGGCAGCTAGATGGCTCAGTACATAGAGCACTGGGCTCAGAATTGGGAAGACCTGAGCTCAAATCCTGCCCCTGACACATACACATAGATAGTATGGTCCCTTGGGGTCATGAAGAGTTGGATCCAACTTATCAACAATATAGTAAGGTTTGGATGGTTTTTATTGCCCTATAAGATAGCAGATAGTTTACCCTGTCAGTTTAAGCCCCTCCCTCTACCCTTGCCTGGCACTAAAGAGTTTGTGGATTGACTGAAATCAGTTAAAGCATCTATGGGATGCAGAAGAAAGGTGAATGGGACTGAGGTTGTTGGGTTCCAAACCCTCTTAGGGTTGCCATCATTCCATATCTGACCAGAGAAGTCAATGGTGCTGCTTAGAGTTTCATGGTATGGCTTTTAGTTTTGATGTTGTTAACCTCAGAACCTGTCTGGTTATGAAATATCATAAAATTAATAGGTCAGGGATGACAGAAATGGAGGATGTGAGAAGATGAGGAAAAGCTAGATCCTGGCAATAAAAAAAAATTCAACTTGGATTATAGAATTTAGAGCTGGGACCTTAGGGATCATTTAATCCAATCCCCTTATTTTATTAATAAGGAAACTGAAGTCTAGAGAGGTTAAATGGCTTACCCAAGGTCACAAGTGTGGAAAGCAGCAGAACCATGATTGGAACCCAGCCCCTTGGACTATAAATACAGGGTATTCCAAAAGTATTAGTGTAGTTTTAAACTTTAATGACTTTAGAAGTATAAACGCTACAAACTAACAAATAACACTTAAAAATTATTTAAAATTTAAAATACTGATATGCTTCTTATTAAAATTCAACATAGCCACCATCTTGTGCTATAAATACTTCATTTGCAATTTCAGCCACAGTCTCTTCGCTTGCTCGGGGTCTCCCAGATCTAGGCTTGTCATGAATTGAGCCAGTTTCCTTGAATTTTTTCATCCAGTTGTTAATTAAATTTCTGTGGGGAGCCTCTTTCTTATAATGGGAAGCAAATTTTCTTCTTACAGCTGTTGCTGACTTGAGTTCAGCTAACCAGAGGACGCAGTTGACTTTTTCTTCAATGTTTGCCATTTTCAATCAGGGGGACTAAAACAAAAAATTAAAATTAAAAACATATTCAAGTTCACAAAACCAAGTATAAAAGAAATTTAAATTTGGAGGATGCAGTGCACTGACTGATTAGAAACCAGTGTTCAAACCTGTCTCTGTGACTTTGTGTAACTACAGGCTTTATTAAAGTTAACCTCTCTGAACCTGTTTCCTCTTCTTTAAAACGGGTACAATAATTTTAGTAGCTAGACGAAGCTAAGTAGCACCAGACCAGGAGTCAGGAACACCTGAATTCAAATCCACATTAGCTTATCACCAGTGTGACCCTGGGCAAGCCACTTAACCCCTATCTTCCTCATCTGTAAAATTTCCTCATCTGCAAAATGAGGAATAATCAAAGCACCTATTGCCCAGGGTTGTTGTGAGGATAAAATGAGGTATTAGTAAAATGGTTAGCAAACCTTAAGGAGCTATATAAATGCTATCTTGTCATTATTATAGATAATATCAATTTCCATATTAATATGAATAGCAGTAATATCTATTATCAATGGTGCCAACAATGTTCTTATTGATATGGCTAATAGCAATAATATCCATTATGATATGAATAATATACATGCTAATAATAACCCATTAGCCATATTAATGATAAATAATAACAGTGCTATATTATTTTTATCACCTCACAGGGTTATGAGCAATAAAAGTATGTAAATCATTCAGCAAACTTTCATGCAATTGTCAACTTCTATGACCCTGTAAACATCCAGTTGTGAAAATGAATATAAATTCATACATCCACTGAACATTACGGCTGGCAGGGGTCCTCAGGAAGCATCTAGGTACTCCTTACTCCCTCCCACCACCCCTGCATTTTACAGAGATGGCAGCTGGTACCCAGAGAGGGGAAGTGACTTACCTAAGACCACACAGCAAGCCGCTGTCAAGCAGAGGCTTAGATGAATACTTCGATTTAAATTTGATATTAATTTAAAAGCTAGTCAACGGAAATATTGTCCTCCCTCCCGCTCCTCCTCCGCCTTTTTTCCTTGCTTCTTCTCTTTCCCCCTTTCTCAGTAGGGCCTTCCCCTCCCCCTCCTCCTTCACCCCCTCCCCTCTCTTTTTCCTCCTCCTCAACCCCCTCCTCTAGAAGCCTGGCTGAGGCTACGCCGGCGCTTGCGCAGTGAGGGGATACCACTGTCAGACTACGGTCGCTTCAGTTCCGCGCGGATGTGTCAGTAACAACTCAGCACGCGACCGAAAACCGACCCTACAAGACGCGGCATAGAAACCATTTCCCTGATTACCCCTCTGGCGCGTGCTGGGGAAGTTGGGAGGAACGAAGAGACCCGGAACTCTTAGGCTGCAGTCCGGTCCGTTTTTTTCTCGTCCCCCGCTTCCTGTTATTCTCTTGCCGGAGCAACTGCTTGCGTCACCTCCCGGACTTTCAGAGATAGGACAGTAGGGCACGTCTCCCTAAGCGGGCGGCGCTCCTTTGCGCTTCTCGTTCCGCCCGGAGGCGGTAGGCGGGGGACTTTGCTGCGCCTGCGCCGGGCGGGCGTCACGTTGCGGGACGGGCGGGGCTCTGCTGGGCTGCTGCGCAGACTCGCGGGGTCGGAGTGTTGGCGTGGCGGTGTTGGTGGTCGGCAGTGCGCATGCGTGGGCACGGCACCGCTCGAATGGTGGTGGGGTCCGGGCGCGGAGCGGGCGGTGCGGGCCGCGGGCAGGACGGCGGAGCCATGCCGGCCTCGGTGGCGTCGGTGATCTCGCGCTTCCTGGAGGAGTACATGAGCACCACGCCGCAGCGCCTGAAGCTCCTGGACGCCTACCTGCTCTACATCCTGCTGACCGGAGCGCTTCAGTTCGGTTACTGTCTCCTCGTGGGGACCTTCCCCTTCAACTCCTTCTTGTCCGGCTTCATCTCCTGTGTGGGAAGCTTCATCCTGGCGGGTAAAGATGACGAGCGGCGACGGCGTGTGGCCTTTGCGGGCCTCTTGTAGGCCCGCACACTCGCCTCTTCTTCCTGGGATAGCAGAGGCGGGTCACGCGTCTCTGGGCCTCAGTTTCCCTCTCTGTAAAATGAAGAGTTTGCCCTAGACCTGTTTTCTTTGGTCCTCTTACTGGGTTGTTGGGTAAACTGAGGCACAGAGAGGGTGAGTGAGCGTTTGGCCTTGGAACCGGACTCAGTGGCTCTTCCTTGAAAGTCCAATGTCCTTCCTATTAAACCATAATGTTAGCCTTCACTTCATTCGTGGCTTGCCCCCCAGTTCAGTAAATCCTTTCTCATCCTGCTTTTTCTGGGGAATCCCATTTAAGACCACTGACTTGGTGAAATCCTTATTCCTACATATAGTTTCTCTTTCCCTGCGTATTCAGACTTCATTCATTCTCAAACAAGTGGTATACCAAATTCTCTTCAACTCATATTTTAACCTGGTCCAGTCTCTGGTTATGTCTTAGGGCAGAGCTTGTAGGCTGCAAGACTTGAATTCAAATTCAGATTCAGCCTGGGCTAGTCAACCAGTCAGTCAGTGAACAGTTATTAAGCACCTACTATGTGCCAGGCACTTTGCTAAACACTGGAGATTCAAAAAGAAGCAAAAGACATCCCCTACCTTCAAAGAGCTTACAGTCTAATGGGAGAGACAGCCTGAAAACAAATATATACAAAACAAAGTCCATACAGAATAAATTGGAAATAATTAACCGAGGGGAAGATGCTGAAATGAAGAGGGGTTAGGGAAGACCTTTAGAAGGTGAGATTTTTAGCGAGGACCGAAAGGAAGCCAGGAAGGGTTCAGTTTCCTTAGCTGTAAAATGGCGATATTAATGGTACCTACCTCTGAGGGGTGCTGTAAAGATCAAATGTGTTATTATTTGTAAAAGCTCTTGGCACATAGTAGGTGTTTATTAAATGCATGTTTCCTTCCTCTCTGACACTGCCCCATGCCACCAGTAGAGTTCCAGTTGAACACTATATGTCGTCTGTAAATAACTTGTTTAACTTAACTTTTAAACTTAGTACTAGTGATCCTTTTTTATGTCTTTTCTTTGAACCTCAGAACCTTGTACTTGACTTTTCATAAACCCACCTCAAGGCATCCTCTTACACCTGTTAAAGCCATTTTTAATGGCAGCTGTTTGTATATTTCTTTTACCTTTAAAGTAGAAACTAATATCTGCTTATTTGTATAACCCACACAAGCCCACACTCAACTTGTGTGTAGTAGATAGTCAATTAATATTTGTTGATTTACTGACTTGATTTCCATCATGTACTGATAGCTAGAGCTGATAGTTCCAGTGACTGGGAAGACCCATGAAGTGACATCCCAGTAACTCATTTGCTAACACTATACAGGCAAATCCAGAACTCATTTTAAATTGATTCCAGTTGAGTGATTTGTCTTAGAATTTGAATGTAGGATATGAAATCTTAGAGGCAGATGGGACTTCTTTGTTAAGCTAGTCCAGCCTCATCACTCTGTTGCTGGGGAAAACAGGCCCAAAGGGAACTTCTGACATAATCAGTAATAATTTTAATATATGATAACAATAATGTAACCATTATTCATTAATACATGATAATATAGTGATAATGCAACTATTGTTACATGCATTATTAATAGAAAGTAAGTTGCTGGAAGGCAAGACCTATTTTCACTGTTGTCTTTCAGTCCCCAGTGCTAAGAGTAGTTCCTTGTATATACCAGTATATGCTTAATAAATGTAGGTGCTTAATAAATGGTTGTTAATTGTTAATATTACACTCTTGGGGATATGGGACTTTTAAATGTAAAAGCCAGCAATAGCAATTCCAGGACTTAGAATCCAAGACTTTATTAATATGGATAATTTCTACAGTGATGCAGGTTGCAACTCATCCATAATTTAAGATGTCTTTGAGAACTTCCGTGGGTGTCCAGTTTATAATCCTATGGTCACCTTGGTAATGAGTGTTTTGTATTTTAGACAGACTGGACCTTGGACCAGACTCAAGTTTGAGCTTAGAAACATCTGAAATTGAACTTTGCTGTCGTAACTATACAATGCAGCATCACTTCCATGCCCCAATGAGGCACTGGAAAAAGACTTTTAATTATATATTTTATTGTACTGGATCTGTGACTTATTTGTTGTAGGGGATGCCCAGTGCAGGACTATACCACCAATGCAATTTATAGTCTTAGAGAGTTACCTGAGAAGTTGTCAGTGAGTCTGCAAGCATTTATTACTTACTTTCTGCCAGCCTTTGTGCTAAGTGCTGAGGATACAAAGAAAAGCAAAAACAGCCCTAGCTCTTAAGGAGCTCACACTTCGATGGGAGAGACAACAAGCAAACAATTATGTACATGACGAGATATATGTGTATATGATACATATATACATGTATATGAATATATATAATGTGTACAAAAACGATTGTGCCTGTGTGTGCACATATGCCTATATGCATATATTGTTGTATATATATGCTATACACACATGTAATAAATTGGAGGTAAAACTGAAGGTGCTAGCATTAAGGGGTACTGAAAAGACTTTTTGCAGAATATGGAATTTTAGCTGTGACTTTAGGGACCCAGGAGATGAGGAAGGAAAGCATTCTTTTTTTCTCCCAAATTATGAAGGGCTTAATTCTTCTGCCCCAAAATTGATTATTTATTTTTAATGTTTTTTTCTTTTAACATTTTGAGTTTTAAAATTCTCTCCCACTTTACAGTGAAGACAAACAACATGATATCCATTATACATAGGAAATTTTGCAAAAGCATTTTCATGTTAGCTATGGCTATATATCACATATACAGTATCACACATTAAAAAGCAAAAACTGAAAAAATTATGCTTCAGTTTTCACTCAGTTCATCAGTTTTCTCTGGAGAGGGATAGTATTTTTTTCATCACAAGTCTTTTGGAATTATCTTGGGTCATTTTATTGATCAGAGTAGCCAAGTCTTTCGTAGTTGATCATTACAACATTACTGTTGCTGTACACAATAATCTTCTCACTTCTCTTTACATCAGTTCATATGTTTTTGTACGGTCACGTCCAACTCATTTGGGTTTTCTTGGCGAAGATACTGGACTGGTTTTCCATTTCCTTCTCTAGATCATTTTACAGATGAGAAAACTGAGGTAAACAGAGTTAAGTGACTTGCCCAGAGTCACATAGCTAGTAAGTGTCTGAGGCCAAATTTGAACTCAGGACGTTGAGTCTTCTTGACTCCAGGCCCAGCACTCTGTTTTGGCACATAGCTGCACCATCAGTTCATATAGATCTTCCCATGTTTTTTTCTGAAACCACCCCCCTTATTATTTTTTACAGCACAACAATACTCCATCACAAACATGTGTCACAACTTGATCAGCCATTCCCTGATTGATGAGCATCTCTTCAGTTTTCTGTTCTTTGCCACCACAAAAAGAACTGCTGTAAATATTTTTGTACAAATTTTTCATTTTCCTTTTATTTTGATCTCTGGGATACTGATCTAATAGCTTTGTTAAAGGGCATGCACAGTTTTATAGCCCTTTTCGCATAGTTCCAAATTCTTCTCCAGAATAGTTGCACCAGTTTACAACTCCACCAACAGTTTTTTAATGTACTTATTTCCCTCATCGCCTCTAGCATTCATCATTTTTGATAGGTTCACTCAGAGTTGTTTTAATTTCCCTTTCTCAAAATAGTAGTGATTTAGAACATTTTTTCATGTGACAATAGATGGTTTTTATGATTTCCTTTGAAAATTGCCTGTTTTAACCTTTAACCACTCATCAATTGAGGAATGGCTTTTATTTTTATGAATTTGACTCAGTTCCATGTATGTTTGAGAAATGAGACCTTTATCAGAAAAACTCGCCATGAAATTTTTTGATATTCATTATTGTCTTTGCAGTCTATTTTAGCAAAATGATGTTTCCCTGATTATCTCTTTTGATTAGGTCTATTTTTGCTTTTACTTGTCTGAAATCATGATTACTACTGTTGCCTTTTTTACTTCCAATGAAGCATAGTAGAATTTGCTCCAGCCCTTTATTTTAACTGTTTGAAGTATGTTTCTTACAAACAACATGGGATTCTGATTTCTAATCCATTCTGCTATTCACATCCATTTTATGGGTGAGTTCATCCGATTCATTGTCAGGATTACTGTGTCTTTTCCTCCATCCTATTTTCTTCTGTTTATTCTTTACTCACTGTCTTTTTATCTTGTTCCTCCTCAAAAGTCTGTTTTGTTTCTGACCACTACCTCTCTTAAACCTGCCCTCCCTTTTATCATCCCCCCCCCACTTCCCCAGCCTTATCTCTTATCCCCTTCACCTCCTATTTCTCTATCAGATGACAGAGATTTCTGTATCCAGTTGAATGTGTATATATGGTCTTCCCTACTTGAACCAATTTTGATGAATGAGGTTCAAGTATTGCCCACCACTCCCCCATTTTTCCC